AAGAATTTTATATTTATGCAGTTGTACATTTTGTTTCTTTGCAGAATATTGTAATGTATAAATGCAATACCAAAGTGAAGAGTTGAAGAGAGTCTTTATCAGAAGCAATGCAGTACTAATTTTTAGGATCTCATCATGTTAAGTGCTAAAGTCAATGTCTTGCCTTGCAACCTTTTTCAATAGTTATTCTTGATTTGTATTTTGGCCATGAATGTAGTTAGAATGATCAGGTAACATGCAGTTTAATTCCACACTGACCTGATGTTCATGCATTTCAAAAAAAGATGACTAATGATGTTGGCTTTAATATAACATAGTGTCTCATGTTGATGTAGAACACTCGACTTGAACTTTAACATCAGTCAACTTTCCATCAGTTCATCCACCTTTGTCATTTAATCAAAGATAGAAACAAATAAAATCATAATTGACCTTTCTCTTGTGTTTTCTTTGTTATATTAAGACATTTTCACAAATCTACACTCTTGATAGCAACATCAGATCATAAAGTGTATGTCCAAGTCTCCTCCCAACATACACTGGGTGGAAGACAAGGAGAAGACCAGACATTTACTGTCCACATTTTGTTTGGGAAGTAGTGGCCTAAGAGTTAGAGAAGTGAGCTTGTGACCACAAAGTCATGGGCTCAATCCCCCAGTGTGGCTGGATAAATCTGGGTGGGCAAAGTGAAAGGGCAGCACTTCCCTCCCTCCCTCGTTACCACCACTGAGGTGGCCTTGGGCCCTGTAATCAGGGTGAAAAAGTGTGTAAATATATAGCACCCTCCAAAATTCCTACAGAGAAACAAAGTTGTGTCCCTGACATGTACACTTACTTTCTACTAACAATTCCACAGAATGGGGAAAATCTGTAAATCTGAATTTATCACTAAACTTATGTCTGTTACACAGGTAAGAGTGCATGAGTGATTGAGGGACAATGTTTCTGAACATTTCTACCCAGCCTGAAAGTACTCCTTTCATTCTGGCAGCTCCAGCAGTAGCTACAGTTCTTGTGGCTGACTCAAGATGCGACTTGTGCTGATCATTAATCTTTTCTTGGGTCCAATGACAATCATTACACGCTCTGGAGACTTATAGCTTTTGTTGCCAGATCTAAGGTGGCCTGAAATCATAGACCCAAGACCCAGATGGTGTCAGGTCAGAGAGAAAGAGACAAAGATTCACAGCAATAACAATAGCAAAAGTAACAACTGTAGTGGTATAAATGACTACTAATGATGATGATGATGACAACAGCTGTTGGGTTGTTTGGCTGAATGATGAATAATAATAACAATATTAATACTGATAATATTAGCAGTGGAGGTCAAGCAGGACCACGGCAGCAGGCACAACCAGGATCCATGAGAACCTGCAAGAAAGTGAAGTTAGTAACATGCATTATTGGGACATGAATGCATACAGATAGAAAGGGAGAGGGAGAGAGGAGCTAAGTGCATCATGGGAAGTCCCCTTTAGCAGTCTATAGCAGTATAGTATAACTGTAAGTTTTATCAAAGAGGGATGTCTTAAACCTACTCTTACATGTAGAGAGGGTGTCTGCCTCCTGAGCTGAAACTGGGATTTGGTTCCACAGGAAAGGAGCTTGTATCTTGTATCTGTTTGCTGTTCTAGTGACTTAGTGGTCAGGGTCATTGGAGCCTATGTCAGCATGCAGGTCCATCATTAAACATGCTACAAGTTGAAATATTGTATAGCCACTGAGAGACATCAGATACTAAATATATAACATAAACACTCAACTGAATTTACTGGTAAGCTGTTTGAACCTAAAGCTTGAAGTAGGCCTGCAGTTGAAATCTGCTGTGAATCTATTTTGTATTTCACATTAAAAACAGAATGGCAGAAACATGTGAAAAACTGTTAACTGTAAAGGGCTATGATGTTGGATGTTACAAGGACTGTGATAAATACAAATGTAGATTCCACATCCTGGTTGCATTAAAAGGTCAACTCTTTTTAATTTTATGCATATTGTCGTTGAAAGGAGGAAACCTGATATGAAATACTTCTTTACCATACTCCAAAACCCTTTCAGGAAATGAAAAAGACCCTGTGTTTTAAAAAAACAACACTGTGTCTTTTACATTTTTTAAAAAATATTTGTAAAACCAACAGACAGATATCAGCATTAATTTATGGAAAAAAATGACAAAATAAGAAGATACAAGGTTTCCGCCCAACAGTGACAAAATGGTAGTATGTTCTTTATACTAAGACCATTTTCCTGAAATCAGATTTTTTTTAAAACCACAATATATATTGCCTTGCTTACAGTATCACAATTTATCACAATATATTAAATCGTAACCCCTATATCACAATACGTATCATATATCCAGATTCTTGTCAATATACAGCCCTACTGGACATTGTTATTGACAATGTGAAAGCAATACTTTCTGTAACTTTAAAGCTATTTAATGAGGGGGTTATTTAAAGATACAACTCCACAGTTTCAAAGAAGCAATGAGCTGGGAAGAATTTATAGCACTGGGAGGAGCTGTTGGGAATGTCCGAGATCAAGAGGTTCAAAAGTGAAACTCTGGTCAACATGAACCTGTATCTGTGTCAACTATACACAGTGTATTTTCTCATGCAGCAGCAATAATCCAAATAAATATGCATATACTATTTCCAAACTTTGTCCTTCTTTTCTCTGTCTGTGTGACAGACTTTAACTCCTAAACATCTTCTTGTTTGAAAGAAATGAATGAACTGTTGTTGGCTCAGGAGGAGGAGCAGAGTGACTGGACGATTTTTGTTACCATTCAGTCATTGAGGCCTCTGTGTGCAGGCAGGAGGAGGGCGCTGGATCAGTTGCAGACACATGACTCTGTAATTACAGGAGGTAGCCACTGTGTACTAGCTAACAGAGGGATGTTGTTTCAGGCACCACCACAGAGCAGGTATTAAGTCACCAGGAACCACCAGGGCCAACAGAGCCAGCCAAGCAGACAGACAGCCAACCAATCAGCAGCTGCTTAATAAAATAGATTCTTTCTATGACCTTAATTCAAGATGTGTGGTCTGTCTTTTATTTTAAGTTTGTTTGTAAGCAGGAAATCTCAAAACAAAATCTTTTTAGCTTTTTTTAGCTTTCAATCACACTCCTTGGTCTTTATCAGAAGATAGAGTTTGAATGAATGAGAATTAATTTTCATACTCAGGTTAGACCATCACTTAAGAAACAAGTGATCAGATTAAATGAGTTTCAGGACTTTTTTTAAAGGATTTGTGAGGTGGGACATTTTATTATTTATTTATTACTATTATAGACAAAACAGATAAATCATGATAAATAAAATAAAAAGAAAGTTAAGTTCATACATTCTGTGTTAGGCATCAGTATTAAAGACTGTTTATCACTGTTTAAGGTGATCAGTTTTTTGCAGCAGCTGTACTGCACGGAATTTGCTGTAGTAGACTTGTAGCCGTTATGTAATGCTATTATTATGCTGATAATAGTTTTTTGATAACTACACAGAATGCAGAATTACAATATTTTCAGAACAGTGTCTCATTGTTCCAAGTTAACTAGCTGATGCATACAAGGAAATCAACCACTTGTCAGTTTTGTACTGTACTGCTGAGTCAACCTGAAAATGACACAAATCTGGACACCTGATATGACCATCACCTTCTTTACCTACAGTCTAATATGCACTGACGTCACAGCACCCCCCTTACCACCAAAAAACATGTCAAGTTCAGTAATTTATATAGTACAAAATCACATGACATATTTGCCACAAATCACATTTGTTGTACAGCAGGCTGAAATGTACAGATCTCCCCATCACATGCTGCTATCAGGTAAAAGACAAAGGCAGCATAAAAATATGTTTATAAGACTATCCGATACAGGATAAGACCAGCATCACACATTGCAAAACAGTATAAATCAAACCGTATACTGTGATATTCTGTCCACATTCGTGGAACAGGTTGCTAAATCTGTATTTGACTCCAAATAATTTAAAATGAATCTGCCCAGATGTAACAACAGTTGTTTTGAAGCTGATGCATATATGTATGGTCACATTGTAATGGGAACAAAGGGTATAAGGCTTACAATGCCTATCAATGAGAGGATGAGAAAATTGACGGGTAAATAAAGTATATGTCTGGTTTGGGGGGCAGCTGTGAAGATGAAGACAGTGTGGACAGAGACAAGCACACAAGGCTTCAGATATCAATAATGGAGCAATGAGATAGCATCACACTGTCAGGACACAGTTTCTCCTGTGAAGAACACAGTTAACATGAAGCCACCTCTGACCCCCTGGAAACCTGCTGGCTCCGTCTGTTGTTATGGAGGTTCTTCCTATCCTCAGAGAACACTGTGACG